TGTAATCTCGCTCTTAAAGCATAGCATCAGCACTGTAAATTCTTAAATTGAAAGAGGTATTGACTGTGGAAACAAAGAATCTTGAGTTCCGTTTTCTTTTCTACCAGAGGAGCATTCTTTACAAAATGGAAATGTATATGATATAAACAGACATTTTTGGTTGTGTAAAAGCAACTGTTACGTAAGACTTCTCAAGGAAAATTCTTAAACGATAAAAATCCTTAATTAAATTAAGCTAAAATGAAGATATTGTAGTGATAAAACTATGACCTCTGATGTGAAATAAGGTCTTATACAATATGTTGATTATCCACTTTTTGAAATTGTGTAAGATGCATGAGAAACCATGTGTTATTGTCCAAAATTTAATTTGATTAGCTTTAATTGCTAACACCCGTGCAAACTAAAAACACATACAATGTGCTAATGCAATAACTGATTCAATTCTAAAGTACTTTGGAATAGATGATAATTATTGTATAAATTTTATATTTCATGAGAGAAGACCTGATTTTCTGCTAGTCAATTACTTTCCTGTGCATGTAATTATTCCATAATAGTTAATCATTGGCATTTGTCTTTATGCATTATCTTGTGTGTACTTTTTGTTTGGTTGGTTGTTTTTGGATTATAAATTTCTAGTGTCCAGACCCAGTCTAACAAGAATCTATGTATAAAATAGTAATTTAAGTTATTTCTATTCAAAATCTTGATCAGTTTCCAAAACTGAATAACTAACCAGACTTAAAATTTCCAAAACAACCTTTGGACAACTGCAAAACAGCATACAGTATTTTAAAAGCTGTTGTGAGTAGCCTCATGACAAAAACTGCCTCTTGAATTAATTTCTTAGCTGTATTAATAGGTAAGTAATTGGGGCAAAATCTACTCCACCCAAGTAATCCTGCTCTACAGAAGTGTTATGTGGGATGCTGTGAAGCCTTCAACCCTATATTGAGGTTGTTATTCCACATGGGCTGGAATAGTAACCTGAGCTCCTGTCTGCCACTTGAGTGGGGTGGGGTGTTGGGGTTATTTGGGGGTGCTTATGAGCCATGTTGCCACTGGTTCTCTCATTACATGTGCACATTTGCCCTGAAACCACAGTTGTAGAGCTTGTGCTACTATGAGCAATATTAATTCCCACAAGCATTTCCCTTGAGAAAATTACTGTGTTTGGAGGGAAGCATGGTGTGTAAAATGGCTATGCCTCACTTACATCGCCAGTCCTGACTCACCGTGCAACCAAGTAGCGGGACATTGGCAAGCATGAGGAAAGCATCTAATGTTGGCTGCACTCCTCCCTTCATTTAGGACCCTAGCTTGCTTTTCCCCCCCTGTGCTGCCCTAAACATGGAAACACAGGGCCTGTAGAGGCAGTGGGAACATTTTAAGTAAAAATTGTATAAGGCTCTCCTGTTCATATTTTTATGAAGCCTGCAACTACTTTGAACTCGAATACCAATATTTTCAAACTTGGGTGCCTACTGTTGAACACCGAAAACTATATTTAGGCAGCTAATGAATGGGCCTGATTTTTAGAGGTGCTGAGCACCCAAATCTCTTATTGATTTCAGAGGGAAGTGCAGTTGCTCAGCACCTCTGAAAAGCAGGCCACTTAACTAGGTGTCTAATATGGATCTGGAGGTCTAATTTTAGGCACCCATCTTTTAAAATTCTGTCTTGCATGATCTTAATGGAACAGTTAACATTTTTCTGTTGACATCATGAAAATTTGAGTGTACAAGGTTAATCTTGGTCCCCGTGGTTCCAACTCAATGTTTAGGGTTCTTTTCAGTTTGTCAATATGCCATGTGTGCCCTTTGCAGCACAGATAATATAATGCAAAGTAACTTCTCTTCCTTCACATCATCCACTTTTCAAAATAAAAGAATTTGGCTATTTCATATTTAAAGAGAGAAAAAAAAAAACACCATGAATTGACAGGGGGAACTAAGGCCCCAACCTTAAACCAGTCTTGTCAAATGTGATTTTTTTACCTTGAGCCTCAACTGACTTTAAAGGTGGGAACATTTTCTTATCAGTCCCAGAGCTGATGTCTTTAAGTGGTGAAATATTTTATTTAAAACAGGGCACTTTTCCCAGTTTCATTAAGAAAAATGTTTAATAGCTGAAGGAGGTAGCATGTTCCTGTATTAAATCTGGCATCTGCATCCAAGTGATACAGAGTTTCATTTGGCCTATTTTATTTTATTTTATTTTTTTTAAAACACACATATAGTCCACAAGTGTGCTGTATATCTTTTTATGAAAAGTTTCTTTGAAAAGGACATTGGTTTTGGTAGAGAGATCTTTTCTCCAGGCTGATTAGTTTATAAGCCATTTCCCCCCAGTGTATGCTGTGGTCAAGGCAACATTTATCAGTTCTGTTACCAGGTTTGCCCATTACTTTGGGGTACGCTCATTTATTAGGGTTACTCTTCTGGGGGGGGGGGTGTTTCTGTAATTCTGTCAATGTACTGCTTGTGTCACTTGTGTTTTCATACGGAGCTCTACTTCTCCCTTCTGCAAGTTCCCTCCCAATGGAGCTATCCTGCAGGACCTAGGTTCCCCAGCCTCCAGCCCCAGAATCAGATGAACACACACATACACATTAACAGAGCGCGTCTGAGCAGACCGGGTCAATCAGCACTCCCAAGCTGACCCCTTATATGTCCCTGGACTCAGCAAGCTGGGTCGAGCTGCACCTCCAAGCTGCCACCTTCATATGCCACGGGCACCGCACCGGAATAGAGTACACCTGAGCAGGCTGGGTCGAGCTGCACTTTCAGGCTGCCACCCTCCTATGCCACAGGTTCAGCACATCCCTATCCCCACTTTCACGTTACAATTGTTCTGGTAGTAACCCACTTGATGAGCAAACCCCACAGGATTTTTGGGCGCTACAGAGATCTTTAGCTTAGGTAAGAGAAGCATTGCTGCAGAGCAAATGAGGAAGCCAAAAACACAGGAGAGAGAGAGGGAGGGAAGCAACCAGCTTAACCATAAAAGTTATTTATTGCCAGGTAATAACCATACAAGTGGAGCCAAACAAACAAAACAGTTACAGTATTAAATCTAGCTTAAATTTGATTACAAATGTCAAGTTTAGAAAACTATACCTGATCACACAAGGCAGGGTTAGAAAGCTATACCTAGAGTAGAAAAAAACCCAACAAAAACAGAGAGTTGGGTTCTCACCACTCTGTGAAGCTTGAACCGGTCAGGGTTCCCAGGTGGTGGTGGTAGCTGAGGGTCCAGAGTGGTGGAGACAGGCAGAGCCCCCAGCATGATCAGTCAGGAGAAGATGAAGTCCTAATGGAACTGATGCAGATTTTGGATCCAGGCATCAGAACATTTACTTGAGCATGGGGTTTTTGTGGGGAAACAAGGGAGAACACTAGATTTGTTTATGGGTAAACTGATGGCTCAAGGGAGTACACCAAAGTTGTTTTGTTCAGGCTAGACAATAGGAACTGATCATTCCTGGCTATGGGCGATGTTCCTTCAAGGGAGCTCGCAATGCAATTAGGCAGCTTCAATATTTTGGATATCAATAAAGGATTTATTACTAGTCTGATAACTACTGAGCTGGGTGTGTGCAGGCGTGGGTTCATTAACATCTGGAGCAGAGATCCCCCATCATGCAGTGTTTCCCTGCTTTTCTGGTCCCAGAGTTCAGTGCGGTTCTTGCCTTGGAATCTTTGTTCTCCATTCTGTATGCTAATGGAGATGCCTCCCTGTCCCATCTTCGATGCAAGTGAGGCTAGGGGAGTTGCCTTAATCCTGTCACCCTTGTCCGGAGGGATTTAGGTGTGTCTCCCACTGCTTTTTCATTGCTTTTTGTAAGTCTTTCTTCTGATTGGTTTTGGTTCAAGCAGAGGCGGGGGGGCGGGAAAGGAGGATGTCCTTCGTGAGTCAGACAGGCTGGATACTGTGCCCTGGTTCCCCAAGAACACAGAGCTGACAGGTAACATAACTGTTAAAATAAAATACTGTTATTAAAGGGTTGTAACTCAATTAATTGAGTAATAGAGCAGGTGCATGTGGAGAATGCACAGGGGGAGTGGTCCCTGTTTTAAAGATCATGGCCCATGTTTACATTGCTTTCAGAAATAGAATATTGCTTAGATGACTGGAATTTTAAAGCTCATTCTAAAGTTTTAGCTACTGAAAACTGCCATTTTAATTAAAAGCACTGGAAATGGTTTTGTCTTTATAAAAGATTACACTAATTTACGCCTTTTTCTCCTAGGAAAAAATAATTTCACACTTGATCAACAAGATTTCACTCAGCACAAATGCAAATATTTAAATGGTCGAGTTATATATCCTAAAAGGCAAAGCTTACAATAGAAAAGCAAATGATCTGTCACAATTTATAAAGTGGACCGCTAACTATAGCCACCAAAAGATCCTCTAAACATTAATCTGATGTTACTTACAGTGTAGTAAATCGGGAGTAGCGTCACTGAAATCATTGGAGTGCACTGGTGTAAAACTGATGTATTTGCGATCAGAATCAAATCCATTGTCTTTCGGTTTTTGTTTATCTTGGACTGAATTATGGCTAATGCCTCTGCATAAACTCTCCCCTCCCCACAAATATTTCCCTAATACATAATGTGTGAAACGTTGTCATTACATTCATCCTTAAAAAAAGAAAACCTCTAATTGCCATTCTAGTCTGACAAAGTACCTCTTTCTAAAGAAAATGCTGTTATACCAAAATGATAAGAGATGTGAAATTACAATGGAGAGTTCTGAGAGTATTTGAAAGTAAAGCTATGCTAACTTAATCCTACAGTACTGGAGTCTTTGTGGAATTTCGAGATAACAGCTTGGACCCATTTAAGTCAATGATTTTTGGCAAGATTTGCTGCTGTTGATTTTTCTTACAAATTTTCCTTTTGCATCTTTCAGAATGAGGACTATGCTATTACTGCAATTGTGAGAAAACTTTTACATCCATCTCCTCCTCCTTCCAGAGTGCTGTCAAAATGAGTGAAACGCCATCAACTAATTATTCAATGCTTCAGCCAAACTCCTCTGAGAGTGAACAGACTTTGTCTGCACGTCACTTCAATGTCACCGAACCTGTTGTGGCCAAACGAATCTGTTTCTATAAAAGTGGAGACCCTCAGTTTAATGGGATCAAAATGGTCATTAATAATAGATCTTTCAAAACATTTGATGCCTTGCTGGATAACTTGTCCAAAAGAGTCCCAATACCATTTGGGGTAAGGAATATTAGTACACCACGCGGGATACACAGTATCACCAATCTGGAGGACCTTGAAGATGGAAAGTCTTATATTTGTTCCCATCAGAAGAAAATTAAGCCCATTAATTTGGAGCGGGCCAGTAAGAAGCCATTACCCTGGCAGATCAGCAGGCCAGTTAGTGCTCGTCGCCGAGTTGTGCAGTTAGCCAGGGAGAAAGAAGACGGCATTGTTCAGGAAGACAGAGCTGTCAAAATAAGAACCCCTAAAAAGCTCCTTGTTTTCAAAAATGGTGACATAAGAATCAGGTGCACTATAGTTCTGAGTAAGAAGAACATGCAAAACTTTGAGACCTTTCTGGATTCCATAAGTGAGTTAATGCAGTATCCAGTTGTGAAGTTATACACTACGGATGGCAGAAAGGTGAGAATAAACAATGGCATCTGATATGCTTTTCACAATGTTTGCTTTTATAATATTACCAATGTAATCAAATGATTTGGTTGCTTACATGGCTGGTGAGCACTCTGACCAGTGTAAGGTCCCCTGTGCCCTGACCATCAGCTATCTGCTGCCTTCCTTGTGGATCTGCCTCTGTACACTTATGGACCTTCAAAAAAGATAGTCAGTTTTGAGGAAGGATGCACACTCATCTTGGTACTGTAGTGACTGAAGCGAGAGAATTTTAATCCTAGGTTTTCATGGAAGCCCACCAGTCTTCTCTTAAACCACTTCCTTCTCTATGTCTTCTAATGACAGCTTTTCCTGGACAGGATGCTTTTCTAGTCCTTTTTCATGCATGCCTTCAAAATATGTCCACTCATCCAATCACATGTAACCCTTCCATAGCCCTGCCCCACAATTAGGACATGCATTAGGCAGAGCTCCTTTAGAACGCTACCTCTGTTCCCTTAAGAGATGATGGTCTATTAATGCAGCAGAACAAATTCCTGTACCTACCCATCCCACAGGAGTTGTGAGCATCTTCACTATGATGTATTCAAGTTGTCAGGGCCTGACTAAGTTCACCTTAGAGTACTTAAGGAACTAGCTAAAGAAATCTTCGAACCATTAGTGATTATCTTTGAGAACTCATGGAGAACCATGAGGTACCAAAGGACTGGAAAAAGGCAAACATAGTACCTATCTTTAAAAAGGGAAACAAAGAGGACCCAGGGAATTACATGCCAGTTAGCCTAACTTTAATACCTGGGAAGATACTGGAACAAATTACTAAACAATCAATTTGTAAGCACCTAGAAGATAATAAGGTTATAGGTGGTAGCCAACATTATTTTGTAAAGAGCAAATCATGCCAGACCAACCTAATTTCCTTCTTTGACAGGGTTCATGCCCTAGTAGATTGGGGTGGCAGGGAAGCTGTAGATGTGATATATGTTGATCTTAGTAAGGCTTTTGACACAGTCCCACATAAGCAAACTAGGAGAATGTGGTCTAGATGAAATTACTATAAGGTGTGTGCATAACTGGTTGAAAAAACAAACGTAAAGAGTATTTATTGATGGTTCGCTGTCTAACTGGGTGGACGGATCTAGTGGAGTCCTATATGTGTCTGTTCTAGGTCCAAAACTAGTCAACATTTTCATTAATGACTTGGATAATGAAGTGGAGAGTGTGCTTATAAAATTTGAACATCACACCAAGCTGGGAGGTGTTGCAACCTCTTTGGAGGACAGGATTAGAATTCAAAATGACCTTGATAAATATGGCTGAAATCAAAAAGATGAAATTAAATAAAGACAAATGCAGAGTACCACACTTAGGAAGGAAAAATCAAATTCACAAATATAGAATGGGGAATAACTGACCGTGCAATAGTATTGCTGAAAATGATCTGGGGATTATAGTGGATCACAGATAAATAGGGGCGAACAATATGAAGCAGTTGTAAAAAAGGCTAATATCATTTTGGGGTGTATTAACTGGATTGTCATATGTAAGACATGGGAGGAAATTGTCCTGCTATACTTGACACTGGTGAGACCTCAGTTGGAGCATTGTGCCCAGTTTTGGATGCCATACTTTAAGAAAGATGTGAACAAATTGGAGAGAGTCCAGAGGAGAGCAAGAAAAATGATAAAAGGTCTAGAAACCTGATCATGAGGAAAGGTTAAAAAGCAACTGGGCATATTTAGTCTTGAAAAAAGAAGACTGACTGGGGACCTGATAAGTCTTCAAATATGTTAAGGGCTGTTATAAAGAGGGTTGTTCTCCATGTCTCTTGAAGCTTAATGTGCAGCAAGGAAGATTTAGGTTATATCTTCGGAAAGAACATTCTAACAATAAGGATAATCAAGTACTGGAATAGACTTCCAAGGGAGGTATTGGAATCCTGTTACTGGAAGTTTTTAAGAAGAGGTTAGACAAACACCTGTCAGGGATGATATAGATATAGTTGGTTCTGCCTATTGAGGTCCCTTCCAACCCTACATTTCTGTGATCCCATGACAATGTAATTGCTAATGTAAGAGCAAAAGTACCTATACTCAAAACTAAAAGTCATATTTCCTATATGGCTACTACATTGCTGAGGAAAGCTCACAATGCCATAAACTAAGTAACCTTGATTTTTATCCCTATTTCTCTATATTTTTAATGTTCAAAGGATGAAATTGCTATAAGCAATGTTCAACAGTATTATGTTCTTCATCTGTCTTTGCCACCCATGAGTTATGGCTATAAAACCTAATATAAGGTTATCTTACATTTTATAAAGTGTGGACCAAATCCTAGCCCCAAAAGCCCGAAATTTCCAGAAACAATGGGCCTGCTTCTCCTCTCGCTTACACAAGTTGTACATTGTTGTAACTTCATTAACTGCAATGGAGTTTCTTCTGGTTTACACTGGTATAACTGAAAGGGGAATCACACTCAGCTCAACTGATCACCCATGCAGGGTGAATCTTTCACCTTCCATCTGGTGAAGATGTGCTTTCTGTGTTCGGTGTCCACAAGTAGACACGAAAGAGAGAAAGGGGCATGTCACCTACAAGCTAGCAAAGCACAATCCATGAGGCTCAAATTCCTTGTAATTGGAGGAGCAGGAAGCCAGGTCCACTACTAATTCTGTATATTTGGCAGTATGCAGCCATAGACCACCCATACAAGAGTCCGGTAATATATTTTGTGGCTGAAGATTCTTCCCTTCACTGACTCATACACACACACTCTCACTCAGTCATTTCATGGCTGTTGATTGATTCTATATTGGGATAAATCCAAACTCCATTTCCAAACTCTTGAACTTCAGGGAAATATTTATCTGGATCCAAACTTTGCTTGACAGAATCATCTTCTAATATATTTACACACTTACTTACAAAGACACAGGAAGTGCATTACCCCATGTGGAAATAAATTCCACTCTGGAATAAAATCCAGCCCTTTGTAATAGCCTGCTGCAATGCTATATATGTATAGGGTAGAAAGTGAAGAAAAAACTATGTGGAAAGACTATACCTGTTGTATTATTACTGTTTGTTACTGAAGCAGAGAAATTGATTTGTTGTTGTGTTCCCCCCCCCCCCCCAGGTTCCTAACCTTCAGTCTCTGATCTTGTGTTCTGGGGCTATTGTGGCAGCTGGGAGAGAGCCTTTTAAACCAGGGAATTATGATCCTCACAGGTATTCACTACCTGCTAAGTTGCCGGGACTCTCCAATCGTGTGTACCCCAAAGCAAATGCCAAATCAGAGAGCAGAAATAGTAAGTCCCTTTAATTATTTTGTATTTTCTCAAGTGATTTATCTCTTTCACATTTTAATGTTAAAAAAAAAAAAGAAACCGTAGCGATCTGATTGGGATCAAGGGTATTCAAGCAGGCCAGTTGAAACAAAACTATTTATTTTTGCTCAGATTTCCTCAGTAGGCATCAGAAAGATCAAAGCATTAATTTTCATTTTGGAATTCAAGTTTCTGTTAAAAATTCAGCTGGCTTACATATTGCCTTTCAAACAGAATTATTTGCACTTGTATGTGAAGCTATCAAGGCATATTTTAAAATGGGCTGATTGTTGCTAATCTATCCACATCATGCTACAGCAAGGGTAAAAGAAAGCACACAGTTTGATACAGAGAACAAATGTATGTCTCCCTTCTAGTTGAACTTTCTGATGGTATTACAGCAGAGCAAATGTATTATCATGCAGTGTTCAGATCTTAGCTCAGTAAATGAATGGGGCTATCTTGTCATATCCTTAATTTCATATGTGCCCATACCTAACTAAAGCAAACTGGGAAAAGCAAGGAAATAAGCAGTTAAGTTATTCAGTATCCAGGTGCCCTCCACGCGTTTCAACTTCAACTAGTTCCTTTCCACCACTCTGTGCCCACGTGTATCTCCCCCCTCATCCTGAACAGTCAGTATGTAGCCTTAACTCTGTTTATTGGCCATGTGTTCATGTGTTTTCATTTAAAATAGGTGTGGTGTGACTTTCATAAAGTTACAGTGTACATTGTATTGGTTTGTGTAAGTGAGGTACACTGTCAGGTTGCTGATTATTTGTCTATCTAAAGTGCTTATATGGTCCTGCTACCATAGCATTTGATGTATCCATCCACACAACATTCAAGAGAGGTAGAGAAGTACTAACATCTCCATTGTACAGACAGGAAACTGTCACAGAGAGACTAAGGGTTACATTTATAAAAGTGATTAGTGATTTTTGGATGCCTCAGTTTTTGGGTGCCCAACTTGAGACACCTTAGGGGTCTGAATTTTAGAAAGTGCTAAGCACCCACCCTCTGTATTTCAGGACCCTTTATGATTTCTTAATTTAGACACACATGATTCTGAGTCACTTTTAAAAATGTAGGCCTTAACAACTTGCCCAAGATCACACAGGAAGTCTGGGGTAGAACAGGGACTTGAAAGTTGAATCTCATGACTCTCAACTAGTGCCCACAACAGGGCACCATACTTCCTCACATCCTTATGGCTGCAACATGTTTTTCAGTAGTGTTTGGGTAAAGTTATGTGAATAGGTGATTTCCACTTGGCTCTTCATGGAGCTGCTACACGGGGTGCCTGATGAACTGAGGAAAGAGAGAGTGAGGATGTTGGGGAAGCCAAGAGGTGATCAGGCATGAGGGGATTTTGAGGAAGAGAACTTCATGGGGGGAGATCAGGTCTTTCTGGAGAGCCTAAGATGTGTGGGGGAACACAGTACTTCTGTGGCAAGTCATTAGCTCATCTAGGGCTTCGTGACACTACTGCCTCTGCTGCTCACCAAGACACCAGCACTGTAAAGTTTCCTGAAGTGCTGGAGAACCAAGGAAGCAGTGCTGGAAGAGCTAATTTTCCATGGTGCTCCTGCCTTGCTGTGCTGAGGAGCCTAGGCAGCATCAACTGCCAATGCCTCTGCACAGAGACATTAAGCTCCCATTCACACATCCCTGCCCAGTGTCCCTGCTGAATATCTCATGTCCCCAAGTCCGCTCTCTTTAGTTTGTCCCAACTTCCACCCTGTAGCCCGCCCTGATGTCTCTTGCCCCATATGTCGTCTCCTTGGTCACCAGGGCTATGTGTACAGGATAGCTGATGAGTTAAGAGTACAAGTAGGAACATTCTGAGGCAAATGAAATTACTACAAAAATCAAAGTTGTCAATAAGTTTTTCTCTTCCATCTAAATTTTGCCTATAATCATGGCCAAGTTGGCAGCGTTAGAATATGGAAGTAGCTGACAGATCTGGAAAGTTTCATCAGCTAATATTGGGCAAATGCAGTTAAAGCAAGAGGAATAACTCTTTATGTATTTTACTTTAAAAATTCAAACTGCCCTATGTCAGAGACATCATCAGGTTATATGAGTGTAAAGTTCAGAGTTTTGGGGAACTTCTGTTGTTTTCATTCCATTTCCAGAGGCGAGTGAAGATGAGATTTTTATTTACAGAAGTGAAAGGTCTGGTCTCTGGAATGAGAGCCTGACTGAATTTACCATCATTTCTCATTCAGTTCCTGGAAAAGCCTCTACAATGTTGTAGAGGAGCAGACTCACCCCTGCGGCGCCTCCTGCTGGTGACTTCTGGGAATTAGCTCTTCCAGTGTCCTGGAGCACCCTCTGCAGGCCAGTGGTCCGCCTTTCCTCTGGCCCCCATGTCCCTCCCGGACCCGGGTGCCCTTTTATCTGGGGTGCTGCCCCCTGGCAGTACACCCCTCAGTACTAGGGTCTCCCCTCCCCAGGGAACCCCCACCCACTATCCCTACCTCACCTCAGAATAAGGCCACTGCCAGTCACCAACTAGCCCCCGCTCCCTGGGGCAGACTACAGTATAGGCCACTCATCACAGGTAAGGTTGGGTTTGGACCTGCTGCCTTGGCCTACCCATGGGCTGCCCTCTGCAACCCCCAGAACCCCTTGGCCTCCTACTAGGCCACAGCCTGGGGCTATCCAGGCTGGAGCTCCCCAGCCCTGCTCCACTCAGGTACCCTGTGTCTAGCTCACTGCAGCCAGGCCCTTCTCCCTCTGAAGGCAGAGAGAGACTCTTGAGCTCCTGGCTCCCAGCCTTTTTATACAGGCCAGTTGAGGCCTGATTGGGGCGTGGCCCAGCTGCGGCTGCTTCCCCAATCAGCCTTGTAGCTTTTCCTTTGCCCCAGCCCTGCTCCCTGGCTGTTTTAAACCCTTCAGGGCAGGAGTGGGGGACCACCCTGCTACAAATGGAAACTTGAAAGAGGCAACAAATCTGAAATAGTGTGTGTGTATGTAACAGTAACATGGGTAGTCATGAAAACCTTCACACAAATCCTTTTAGGGCCCACTCCAGCAAACGACATGCTTAACTTTAAGCACATGAATAGTTCTATTGAAGTCAAATTAATGTTAAGCACATGCTTAAGTGCTCTGCTGGACTATAATATAAATTCCAAACCACTACATAAAGTGACTGAATACTTCTTCTAGAAATGTCGTTACCAATTATGTCCTTATATATGTCTTTCTGAATTTGTGTTTGTGTGCACATACTGTATTATTTTAAGTATACATATAAATATACACAAAGCTTAGTGAAGGAGCACAGTTTAGAAAATTCTGTTTAGATTTCTCCTGGTGTACTTTTGGTCTCTCACCTATTCTTTTCACTGTGTGACACTCAAAGATAGATGAGATTTTGTCAGTGCATAGGTGCTGAAACTAGAGAGTATTTATTGATGGTTCGCTGTCTAACTGGGTGGACAGATCTAGTGGAGTCCTATATGTGTCTGTTCTAGGTCCAAAACTAGTCAACATTTTCATTAATGACTTGGATAATGAAGTGGAGAGTGTGCGTGAAGTGGTTTCCATTATATGTGGGGTTTACAGTATGGTTCAATTACTCTCAACACCCCCACTATACAAATTGTTCCAGCACCCCGTGACAGTATCAAGTTATTACAAACTAATGCAAACACATTTTAGAAATACTTAACTGTGTGCAGACAAACACATTAGAAGCCTAATTTTATGCCCATTGAAGTGAATATGAATATTCTCATTGCCTTCAATGGTCTTTGGACCAGGTCCTAGAGAACTGTAGCATATATGCACATTGTAACGCATGATGTAAATTAAAATGCATGATGTAAAAATCTTATTATAAATGTCTGGTTCAAAATTTAAATGTAAACATATATAGAAGTACATGCTAAGGGCCCAATTCTACAATGTTTACATACACGAATAGTCCATGGGACTACTCAGATAACCAAGGATTAGTCATATAAGTGAAAGGTGTAAAATCAATTCCAGAGAGATTTACTCTTAATTGACATGTTGTAGCACCCATTAACATTCAGGTTGTTATGTACTGCATGTGCATTTGGATCCACTAATTACACTATTAAATCATCAAGAAGTAGTAAAGGAAAAAGCAGGTTCCATGCTTAATATCTTAGGGCCTAATCCTGTGTGGTCCTGTGTGCCTCCTGCAGGGTGGGAAAGCACATTCAACGACCAAGTTGATGGAACTGGGAGCATTCGGCACTTCACAGGCTTAGGACCTTAAAGATTGTAACACTGGTGTTAGAAGGGTCATGTTGCAAAACAAAATAAAGAAAATTGCACCAGCAGGAAAGTTCAGTCTTTACTCTTTATAAAAGTTGTGTTTTTTCTTTTTAACAAGTTCTTGGAAACGAGTTAGAGAAAATAGACACCTTACTGTAATAGTTTTTCTTTATTACAATAATTTATTCAATCCCAATGCTCACCAAAAAAAAAAAAAAAAAAAAAAATTCCTAAAACCTTTCATTGGGTTCCTCTATACTAATCATACTTTGTTTTTTTCTTTTTTCTGTCTCCTTTCTTTGCCTATCTGCCTGCTGTCTTTCCGTCTGGATTCTCATGCATGATGATTATCTTCTACACCTTCCATCTAATATTGTGAATTTGGGTGCTTTCAATATAAATGTTGAAAGTGAGTACACAAATGCCCTCAGGAGCTCAAATTTACTCAGTTTCTTCTGATAAAGGTTACAGCAATGATAACTCAGATTCTTCTTGCATTCCTGACAATTACATGGGCTTAGCAGAAAATCATTCACATGCTGGTGAAGATTTATCGATGGTGCGCTCTGAAGATGACATTGAGAAATCTGTTCATGTTAATCAAGATGGCAGTATGACAGTAGAGATGAAAGTTCGATTCAGGATAAAAGAGGAAGAAACCATAAAATGGACAACCACTGTCAGTCGTGCTGGTGTTTCTGCTGATAAAAATATCAAGATTTGCA